AGCTTGAGGTATTTTGCTAATTAAAATGGTGATTCTGAATGGAAATGCTTGCCTGGTTCAATACACCAGTCTGCTTCGGCTTCCAGCCCATGACATTACATTTTGTATGTTATTAGACGACAAAGTTTAGAAAAAAGTATCCCCTTAGCCTGCTGATCTTATCTTCATTGTTTCTATCACCTTACAATTATTTTTCCTAAATATAACACAAAAATCACCTAGTTCCAAAGGCAGCCCATCCAATTATGTTCAAAGTGAAGTGGATCTAGGGAGGCGTATTTGTGCACCCAATCAGCGAAAATCATATTTACGGTGAGATAATCAAGTAATTTATTTTGTATTTTATTTTTAGTTTCTCCCAAGTTTTGATTAATGTAGTATTTTGAGGAATTCCTGCAGTGTTATATTTATAAAGAACACCACTTTCTCTCATGCCATAGTCAAGCAATTGCTGCATGGAGGGAATAATCAATTCCTGAGCCATCACTGACACAGTTAAGAAGCTCTCCCTTGAGCAATCTCGTAAATCATAGTTCAAGAAACATATGCAGAAAAACAAATACCTTTCGTGAGATATACCTTAGAGTCTCTGCTAAGAGTGACCATCATCAAGAAATTGGGCCCAGCTGGTTAAAAAGACTGGCTGAGCCCAGAGATAGTCAACCTGTCCACATACAAGCAAAAGTATCCATGCAAGATTCATCTGTGTCCATAGCAAGATATTTTAAATGATGAAAAAAACTATATAGGCTTAAATTTTAAAGACCATGTCCGTGGTAAAATTGCATTTTGAACAAAATGTCAGAATTCACCATGATATTGGCCCCCAGTTGTGCCATCTGTGATATGAAAAGTAACTCTGCAAATTACATTAAATTGGTCAATGCTGGATTTCACAAATCCAAACCATATCCACACAACTGAAGTAGGCCCTTCTTTGGAACTAATTCTTGCTCAGCCATGCTGCACACGTCCTTTATCACAAAAAATACTTTTAACATCTCGAGAAAGAGAAAATTATTCCATTATCACTAGAAAAAATGTTTTTTTTTGAGATCACATGAAAATGGTAATTTGAAAAAATGCTGGTTTATGTTCTTAATTTCTGTGAGTACATAAAGTTGATGTTTGTTGTTTTTATTTTAAAATCAAGTTGCCAACTGGTTAGAACAGATCAATTAAGTTTTTAGTTCAGGATCTAGTCACAGTTCAGGTCCACTGAGACAGACAGACAAAGGAGTTAGATGTATGCAGGCTGAAACTGCTTTGTTTCACATCGGTCTGTTTTTGTACTTTTGAAGCCCTTGAACATCCAGGTATTGCATCATTGCCGGTTTGTTCTGTTATAATTACAGTGTTGTGTCACAAACCTGTAACTGGGCTTTCATTGGAAGCTCAACCAAGCCACATATATTACTAGCTTATTTTTGCTCCAGCACGGATATTTGTAATGTGCTATTTGCCTTGTACGTCACATTTGACAAAAGCGCCTGCTAAATAAAAGTAAATGTACAGCGGTATTGCGATTCTTGCTTATAACTTTGAAAAACTGACCATGGATACAGTTGCAACTGGTCACAAAAATTTGTCATTTCACCCACCATTAAAGGAGGCCTGAGGTTAGCCTACAGCGCACCACTACTGACCATCGCAAGCACAACATGGACACTCTTGACAACAGACAGGATGGGAGATATGTCACTTGACGATGACAGTCATGCAGGCTGGACTTACCTACAACCATCTTGGCAAATTCATCTGGAAAGTTCTTCTCCAACCACTGCCTGCACTTGGCTGGTTCGGGCATGTACTCACAGTACTGGAAGAGAAGGGGGAAGCAGGAGCAACTTGTCATACATGCAAATTCCAAAGAAATAGGCTGTCTACCATCTATCTATCTAAAAACGTTAAGTTACTAGAAATCAACCAACATCTGACGCACGGAAAACACAGTGGACAAATTCTGAACTCCGTCTTCAAGACATTAAACTACGTTCAACAAAACCATCCAATCACAGGCCTCCCACTCAATGCATGGCGTGGCAGCTCAGGAGGGTTTAGCTTATCGCACACATTGTCAACCTCCCAAGTCTTCGCTCTCCAATGCCTGCAGGCCTCACTGAGTGAGCCAAGACCTGCAGGTGTCACTGTGGAGCGCTGAGCCGGAAATCAACCCAGCTACTCACACAGAGCGGCAGCACTCCAGCCAATTTGTGTTCCGCAGGCCTCCTCACCAAAGATGGCGAACGCAACAAAGCAGCAATGGATCCCATGGTGCAGACAAGTCTTTCGATCACTATTTTCCACAACCTTTTAACAACCCAGCGACTGTCCGACAAATGTGCATAGCCTGTGGAAGTTGAGGATCAGGGTTGAGCTGGAAGGAATTTTTACCTTGTAGCGAATGACAGTTTTAACTGGGATGGATGCACCTGCTTGCCCATCAGGCTCTTAAAATGATGCATCATTTTATGTTAGCAGGATTAATTCTTCTCTTTTCCAGAGCTGGAAAACTGAAAGATTCCATGGGTTTTTGCAATTTCAGACACAGGAAGGCCAGACTCCTTGTCTTTTGTCTTCATACATTAGAGAACCTCTGTTCTTTGACTAATTTCTCTTTTTGGTACTTGTGTGTTTGTTGGGGCAATGTACTAAAAAGACCTACGACTAACACAAAAAGAAAGTAAATGCACATACCTCTGTTGGCAAGGAACATACTAAAAGAAAAAAGGGAAAAAAGTTATTGCAAATTTTCAAAAAGTCAAGACATTTTGCAAACATCTGTTGAAAAACTGTCCAGGTAAATATCTTCCAACTTTTTCTAATTCCAAGGTGACAGTACTACCCACTGAACTGCGGTTTCGAGGCATGTTATCAGAAACATTCACCATCACTTAGTGCATTTTATCTAGCAAATCACCCTCATTTAAAACAAAATAAGAACCCCCTCTGGTCAAAGCCATCAACAACCCCCACGCCCACATCACAGTCTTTCACAGTCTATTTTACCATTATAATAGTATATTAATGGTGTTACCAGGATTATTTGGTGCCAACAAGTATTTACTGTTAACACTGACTGAGGACATGTTCAAACAAAGGCTTATGCTGTATTATGTTAGATCAATACATTTACTGCACTAAACATGTAACCGTTAACCTTCCCAATAATTAGACACATAATATTGCCATAGTAATAGGACACAAGAAATCAGGCTTCAAAGCCACTGGGGGCGACTTCACAAGCAGCGATTGACAATAATCCCCTTCACTGCTCCCACAACCCCATTAAGGCACCTGAACAAATACCTCCGCAATAGAGCACTTTCAAGGGGTACATGGTGTCCGAGTTGCCAGTTCTGCGTTCTGCCTTGTTCTCTGGTGAGCCCGATTCTGCATTTTCAGTAGTAGCCATGATGTAAAGTCTGAGCAAGATAAATACATTACCACATTTAAGTTCATTAAAAAATATCAATATCCGCAATGAGCCTCCCCCTTTTAACAAAATAACTTTTTGTGCTGAGGGTGGAACTGATGTCATAAATCCCCCGGGTTCCTTTGGATTTATTTTTAATCTGATACATGGCCCCATCTAGTGGACGATACGGAGAAAAACAAGACCCTTGCGAAGCTTTCACAAACTATCATTTCGAAGGACTAGAGGGCAAAGCATGAATTAACTATGAATTTAAATAGGGCGTTTTTGAAATATCTATAATGGCATATGGTTTAGCGTGTTTTTCACAACTGGCTAGGCTAAAATGACATTTAAAAATCATACACCGCGCCGTTGAAATCATGGTGAGCAGACAATATAACCTTTAAATAACACTCTAATTGCTTAATTTCCGTGCAGTGCTAAGAATATATGCAACTCGTTTTGCTGCTGTCACATTTGTAAAATTCTCTATAATTGTTTGCATTCTCTTCAATTATTCTGCAAATGCACTCAACATTAAACATATTTTAAACGATTACAAAAAAATCTGCCCTGAGGATCTATTCAGTTAGAAATAATACATTATTTTAAATTAACCCATTTGACTAGTATGCGAAAAGTAAAGACCTTTGTTAATTTTTAAGTGTTCTGATAAGTTTTCCTCCCATATCACGGGCCTACTGATCTATCGAGGGCATAATCCAGTAGGGCCGTCTCCAGACGGAGCCACATTCATTTGAAAAACGTGACATTGGATATGCAGATCTCCTGATACGTCCGGATGGTTAATTAGAAATCCGACTGAATAAATTATGAATATTTTAAAACTAACATTAACTACAAGTATTTAGCTAAAAAATGACCACATTCGTGATAACGCACCTCGTCACCCTTCTAAGTGTAATGGTACAACGACTGGTAGTACAGTAGTCAACGACGACCCTACCTTAACAATGACTGGCAAAAAATAACTAATATAAACTCAGAATTAGTGGTTAGTGCTCCTGTAAACTAAACGCACTTATATTTAACCAGATGACAGTATTAAACTGAGAATAAACTTTCTTGCTTTATTACAACGTCAGGTGTCTTAGCTCGCTAATGTACCAATGGGTGTCCATCCGGCGACTAACATTCTTTCCAATAAACTAATAACAACGAGAATTGATTTTAGAAAAAAATACCTACCCTTTTAAAACAGCCTTTATATTACGTTCTGCTAAATAAAAAAGTAAGCATTATTGTATCAAGGAAGAACTATGGTCTAAGCATCAACGAGCATAACTCGCACCACTCCTCCCCCGGCTAGTGTTGCTCGGGTCCTGTTTTCCTGAAAGAAACGTTTGGGTCGACATCAGTAGGCGTCCATTATAACGCCTGAAGTAAATAAAACACTAATACCCATTTTAACTGTCTTTATTTAAGGTAAAACACGTTGCTTTTTGATTAACATTTTACCATTATTATTTAAAACATATGCTAAAATGCATAGTAAAATTTTAATATATGAATTGATTAATTTACAAAAGGCGCGTACGTAGTTGATGCCCCGACACAGGCAGTTTACTTGGTAATATATTTAAATATTACTTTTGCGATTTCTGTACTGCACTCTTTGTGACCTTTCAATTTTGTTAGTTATTTATTTTTTTAAGTAAAACGGGAATTATAATATATGAGTATTTTGAGAGGTAAGGCTTTATGTTAACAGACAATTCAATTCAGATTATTCTTATATACTGGAGTTGTACAAGTTCTAATTTTGCTTGTTGGTTGGTTGTATACAAGTTACGTGATCGTTCTTTTATCTGCCTACTGTTGTTCTGCTTCCCTAGATATTAACTAGAAAGTATACTATATACTACTAGAAAGTAGAATAATTATTCTAAATTACGTTTAGAATAAATAGCTTGTTAGAGAAGTAGCTGTGTCACATTATAGAAAAAATGCCATAAAATGCATATATTGCATATGGTATTACCACTGTACCACAGATTTACGTAAAACTGTATTACGTTGTATTAATTTTAAGTGGCTTTAATTTTAAGGTTTAGTACCTAGATTTATTCCAAATTTAGTAGGTCTATAATCTATAGCCTATAGGTATATAATTGTGACGTGTTTAATTCCGTATATAATAGGCTTAGCATCGTGAAAATGGTGCAATGGAAAGAGATAATCGAACAGAATTCAATGGAAGTGAAACCACAACTCGCAGTCTGGCACATGGTAAGATGTTTTATATTTTTCATACGTCTCTTCTTGGGTATCATACAGTTATTAATAAAATGACGTTTTTCGATCATTTCAAGTCTAAAATACAATATCATTTGAATTTGCTGTCAATATCTTAGTAAGATGTCTGTTTTTGATATGGTGATGAGCTAAAGCTTAACCTTAGATGATTTTTGGACGCAGTAGCCATTGCAGATATGGTTAAGGTACTCAGCTAAATTGGTAAGCTCCTAGGCTGATGAATGAACAACATTCAGCCATTTCAGGTGTTATGGGTAATACTGTCAAGCGGGTAAATAATGTGTAAATATTGTATGTATCTTTCAGTTCGTCCTATGGACCCCTGGCACAGCACCCCAATAAAAAAGGTAAGGTTCTCATTTTGCTCAGATTTTTATTTTATTTTATTTTATTGTTTTACAATGCTTTTATCCTTTTTCCTGCTTTAAGTGAATCTTTATCATATGGTTTAAAATAAGTTGATTGCAGAATATGTTTGTGAAATTTGCCTAAAACCAGGTGACTCCGCAAGCCAATGACAGTGTCTCCACACCAGCTCTGCTCGCTGAAGTGAGACAGCCACAGAGGCAAACGGCGAGCCCTGACAGCTCGCTGGCATCTGGGCTCAGCAGACAACGTGGCCAGGTAAGAGGAAACTGATTCAGAACCACTGCCATCCACCCAGCCTCAGTAAATGATTATCCAGTCAGAGTTGCCAGAACAGCATGCCAGTCCGTCACAGAACTGTCCAATCCACATATTCGCTCACTAAGGACATCTCCTCACCTGAAGATACGCACTAACAGTACTGTTTCACTGTGAGGAGGACCGCACACACGCCACCTATAAAAACATATCTTCATCCATCCATACATCCAGCATGTGGCTCAGTGGGCTAGGCCTGTGTGCCTGTAATCACAAAGTCGCCGGTTTAAACCCAGCCTTAGCACGTCTGCGGCTCCTTGAGCAAGGCCCTTAACCCCCAACTCCCTTGGTGCTTCCACAGGTGGCTGCCCTTCGTGGACAGCTTGCTTACAAAGAGCAAGTTGAGAGAGGTATAAAGACAATTTCCCCATGGGGATTAATGAAGTGATGATTATTATTATGATTATTAGAGATGCACTGACTGCAACTTTCTTGGTTGATTCCAGTTTCCGGTGTGACCGACCGATGCCGATTCTGATTTTCTTTCTAAGAACAATAATTGACAGCATATACGAACAAGAATAAGCTTTTCTTCAATGCAAAATTTTATTTTCATAATATAAGAAATTCTTAAAGTTTACAATTTCCCCCAAACTACATTAAGTTACAAGATCTTCTCTCACTCAATTCTAAAAATATGGTCCTCTGTGACTGGAAAGAGGTACAGATAACAATTAACTGAAAATGAGTTGCTGTACACCCAACTTTAACTGACATATTTTACTTTACCAAGCAAGAGCAGGTGTAACAGATTTAAATAGCAAAACAAATCTCAGTTGCTTATATAATTTTCCAGTATGGTTAAATTCACCAAATAACGTGACATTGGCCTTTTTCTCTTTTTTTACTTGTCTTAAAATAAAAAAATCCATAGGTTACAAACCTCCAAATAAACCTTAAGTGCACTATACTCTTCCAAATAATAATAGGTGCAGGGTAATATTATTAATACCAACATTGCTTGTTATGCACATACAATTCTTACATCGCTTATACAGCTACATTAAGATCATCCTCTTTCATACCTTCATACTGTACGGAAATTATAATGCAGGTTAAAGTTGAGCTAAAATGTTTTTACTCTTTCATAGGAAAATAAAACCTTAGCTATCTTTTGTTTTGTAATCATATGTTTATGATTATTCCTTTTCAAGATTGCTTGTTATGCACATACAATTCTTACATCGCTTATACAGCTACATTAAGATCATCCTCTTTCATACCTTCATACTGTACGGAAATTATAATGCAGGTTAAAGTTGAGCTAAAATGTTTTTACTCTTTCATAGGAAAATAAAACCTTAGCTATCTTTTGTTTTGTATTCATATG